GAATAATTTATATTTGCTGCCCCCCCTTTATGGCGTTCTTAATTCGGCCGCTGCTACTATTAATGTAGTTAATGTTGAGATGATATCTATTTTCTGGCGTCAGCCGCTGATTTATTCCGGCCATTTTTCAGGAGCGAGCTAACACGGCGCTAAATCAAAGGACTTGCCAATTAACTGCCGAGCCGGGGAACCGAATGGAATCCTAACAAATCCAACCGCAGGAGGAGCAGCAACGCGCACAACTCACATCGGGGGACGAGGGGGGAGATGGACACGACCCCCCAGTCTTTTCTGTGTGTGTGGGGGGGGGGGGGGGGGGGTTGGGGTCAGCAATGGACATTTAAAGACTGACAGCTGCCAATCAGATCCAAGCTCTCATTTCTCCATCAGAGGACCCAGAATGGAAGGAAACAATGGATCATCTGCACCTTATACTGAATTCTGCCCCCCCCCTCTCCATCCTAAATGCTCAACTGCCGATCTTCAGCTCCTATGCTCTCTGCAAGTCTCTGACAGCCCCCTCCTCCTCCTCCTGCCCCACATCCAACTGACAACCTGCAACAGCTCCAAGATTTACTACATCGTCTGCCATTTAAAGGGGTTTCCTGCCTTTGGTACATATTATTATTATTATTATACAGTATTTATAAAGCGCCAATGGTTCGCTCAGCGCTGTACATTACAAAGGGGGACAGAACATGTGACAGAACAATACCAATACAATGCAAAACATGAGGGGATCGAGGGCCCTGCTCCTTGGAGCTTACAATCTAGGATATGCCAAATTCTCCTCCCCATAATGAAATAATATTGGTGACTTCCTGCAGGATTCGGGTTTTTAATCCTTTAGTTACTATAATTAAGCCCCCCTAGAAGTAAAAAAAAAGAAAGAAAAAAAGAAAGAGAAAAAAAAGAAGAAAAACAAAAGGAAAAAAAAATGTATTTCAAGTAACAAGAGGTCCAAAGGGAAAAACAAAAAAAAAAAAGTGTTTCAGGATCAAACATTCCCTTCATCAGGGCTGAAGAAAAACAACATAAAATAACAAATTGACACTCATCTTAGAAAACATGCCCGTACATAGTACAAAGAATAAAAATTAATGAATATCTATTATGTTCTATATAAAATATATATTTTGACTACAAAATGAAAATTAAATTGACATTAAAGCGGAGGATGGCCCTGGGCACGCGGAAGATGGCCTGGGCACCCGGAGGATGGCTTGGGCACGCGGAGGATGGCTTGGGCACGCGGAGGATGGCTTGGGCACGCGGAGGATGGCCCTGGGCACACACAGGATGGCCCTGGGCACACACGGAAAATGGCCCTGGGCACACGGAAAATGGCCCTGGGCACACGGAAAATGGCCCTGGGCACACGGAAAATGGCCCTGGGCACACGGAAAATGGCCCTGGGCACACGGAGGATGGCCCTGGGCACACGGAGGATGGCCCTGGGCACACGGAGGATGGCCCTGGGCACACGGAGGATGGCCCTGGGCACAAGTAGGATGGCCCTGGGCACAAGTAGGATGGCCCTGGGAACACGGAGGATGGCCCTGGGACAAGAGGATGGCCCTGGGCACAACGGAGGATGGCCCTGGGCACAAGGAGGATGGCCCTGGGCACAAGTAGGATGGCCCTGGGCACAAGGAGGATGGCCCTGGGCACAAGGAGGATGGCCCTGGGCACACGGAGGATGGCCTGGGACACAGAGAACACACAGGAGAGCTTCCCATGTTGTCCATCCATCTCCCCGCACGCACCGTATTACAATATATTATTCTGACTTCTCCCTGTCCATTCTCATTCAGTGCAGTAAATATTGATCGGGCTCAGAGATTTCCCATAAAATATGACAATATGGCTTCCTGCTGCGTTCAGAAGGCTGCTGACTGATCTGCAATAATTTACATTGTGAGTGGAAGGGACAGACTTCTCCCGGCGCTCCCGCACAGCACAAAGGTGGTGTGATAATGCCAGGCCTCGCCACGGTGTGAATATAGGCAAAAGTCCACACAGATTCACGCTAATGCCAACTGCGGAGCTCCAGAGTGTTGTGACTGAGCGCAGAAAATTGGGCGTTCAGTTTTCTACGGTTTTCATAATCACGGTCACGGTCCAGAGTTGGAAGGCTTCCAAGAGTCTTGGGTGGGATGAAGCCTTCAATCCCATGTCCAGGTCTTACTGGAGACCTGAAGGATGTGAGAATGTTCATGTGTGTAGACTTGTTAGAAGCACGGACCCCGCGAATGACCCGGCTGCCTCCTTCCTTCATTTAACCCCCGAAGTCTTTGAAGCGGTATAAATGGTCCCTACTAATCACTTACTTAATGCTGCTAAAGCCTGCACCCCCCTGTATTGGTAGCAAACTGCAGATCCACAAATTAGCTAACAGCTAGTGAAGATAATGAGATATACATGATGGAGGAACTGATGGCCACTGTCCATGAGAAGGAAGAACAATTTCACAAAGGTTCGTTCTAATGGGCCAACTTTATGTTCCCCCATGGGCTACCAGTCCCTACTGTCTTCTTCTGGCTAGGTGCAATACTTCATAGTGACATAGCAGAACAAAAATTGAGATCCACAATCAGTATTCCCCTACCCTGACATCTTCCCCTGCATACTTGCCACGCTTTTTTTTTCCCCTCCCTTCTACCTTTTCACCTGCTTCTGTTCCTTCCCTTCATTTCTACACGCTACTTTCATTAGTAGGTCATACCCATAGGAAGGTAGTCCTTTTTGCAAGGAATCTGTCTCTGAGGAGTGAGAGAGGCCAAGAGAACTCCTATTGAGAGGCCTGGAGAACCTCTATTGAGAGGCCAGGAGAACCCCTATTGAGAAGCCAGGAGAACCCTTATTGAGAAGCCAGGAGAACTCTATTGAGAGGCCTGGAGAACTCCTATTGAGAGGCCTGGAACCTCTATTGAGGCCAGGAGAACCCCTATTGAGAAGCCAGGAGAACCCCTATTGAGAAGCCAGGAGAGATTGAGAAGCCAGGAGAACTCCTATTGAGAAGCCAGGAGAACTCCTATTGAGAGGCCAGGAGAACCCTAGGAGGCCAGGAGAACTCCTATTGATTGAGGAGAACTCCTATTGAGAGGCCTGGGAGAAACTCCTATTGAGAGAGGCCAGGAGAACTCCTATTGAGAGGCCTGGAGAACCCAGGGAACTATTGAGAAGCCAGGAGAACTCCTATTGAGAAGCCAGGAGAACTCCTATTGAGAGGCCAGGAGAACTCCTATTGAGAGGCCAGGAGAACTCTATTGAGAGGCCAGGAGAACCCCTATTGAGAGGCCAGGAGAACTCCTATTGAGAAGGCCAGGAGAAAACTCCTATTGAGAGCCAGGAGAACTCCTATTGAGAGGCCAGGAGAACTCCTATTGAGAGGCCAGGAGAAACTCCTATTGAGAGGCCAGGAGAACTCCTATTGAGAGGCCTGGGCCAGGAGAGGACTCCTATTGAGAGGCCAGGAGAACCTCTATTGAGAGGCCAGGAGAACTCCTATTGAGAGGCCAGGAGAGGCCAGGAAACTCCTATTGAGAGGCCAGGAGAACTCCTATTGAGAGGCCAGGAGAACTCCTATTGAGAGGCCAGGAGAACTCCCCTAGAACCTTATTGAGAGGCCAGGAGAACTCCAGGAGAACTCCTATTGAGAGGCCAGGAGAACTCCTATTGAGAGGCCAGGAGAACTCCTATTGAGAGGCCAGGAGAAACTCCTATTGAGAGGCCAGGAGAACTCCTATTGAGAGGCCAGGAGAACTCCTATTGAGAGGCCAGGAGAAACTCCTATTGAGAGGCCAGGAGAAGGCCCTATTGAGAGGCCAGGAGAACTCCTATTGAGAGGCCAGAGAACTCCTATCCTATTGAGAGCCCAGGAGCCATTGAGAGAGAGAGGCCTGGAGAACTCCTATTGAGAGGCCAGGAGAAGAACTCCTATTGAGAGGCCCAGGAGAACTCCGAATGAGAGACCAAGAGAATTCCTATTGAGAGCCCAGGAGAACTCCTATTGAGAGCCCAGGAGAAACTCCTATTGAGAGCCCACGCAGGAGAACTCCTATTGAGAGCCCAGGAGAACTCCTATTGAGGAGAGGCCTGGAGAACCCCTATTGAGAGGCCTGGAGAACTCCTATTGAGAGGCCAGGAGAACTCCTAGAGGCCAGGAGAAACTCCTATTGAGAGGCCAGGAGAACTCCTATTGAGAGGCCAGGAGAACTCCTATTGAGAGGCCAGGAGAACTCCTATTGAGAGGCCAGGAGAACTCCTATTGAGAGGCCAGGAGTAGGCCCGTTGTAACTACACTCTGAGTGAGCCCAGAGAGCCAGGAGAGCTGGTGAGACGGTTTGAAGGGCCAGTGAAAAGAGTGAGCCAGGTGGCTTAGTATTTTCGTCATCTGTTGTGCTGATGAAAATCCCTTGGAGGGCAACCAATTTGTGAACTTTATTTGTCCTTTAATTTTTGTTTTTAAAAAAGGCGGTCCATCACCTAAAGACACAAGCAAGAAACTGAGACTAGCCAAGAGTGGGAGTGGTTACATAGGGGGAGTGGTTATATAGAGGAATGTCCTTGTAGCCTGTACCCTATACCAGGGGTCTCCAAAGTTTCTACACAAAGGGCCAGTTTACTGTCCTTTAGACTTTTGGGGGGGGGGGGTGGTCTGTGGCCAGTGGGAGTTGAAATTGTCCTGGTGTTAATGGGAGTAAACAATGCATCTTTGGTATTAGGGGGAGGAATAGTGCCCCATTGCTAGTGTTAGTGGAAGGAATAGTGCCCTATCATTGGTGGCAGTTTCAGTGCCTCAACATTGGTGTCAGTGGGAGGAATAGTGCCCCATTGCTGGTGTCAGTGGGAGGAATAGTGCCCCACTGCTGGTGTCGGTGGCAGGAACAGTGCCCTATCGTTGGTGGCAGTTTGAGTGCCTCAACATTGGTGTCAGTGGGAGGAATAATGCCCCATTGCTGGTATCAGTGGGAGGAATAGTGCCACATCATTAGCATCAGTGGGAGGAATAGTGCCCCATCATTGGTGTCAGTGGGACTAATAGTGCCCCATCATTGGTGTCAGTGGGAGGAATAGTGCCCCATCACTGGTTTCAGTGGGAGGAATAGGGCCCCATCATCATTGGTGTCAGTGGGAGGAATAGTACCCCATCATTGGTGTCAGTGGGAGGAATAGTGCCCCAGTGGGATCATTGGTGTCAGTAGGAGGAATAGTGCCCCATCATTGGTGTCAGTGGGAGGAATAGTGCCCCATCATTGGTGTCAGTGGGAGGAATAATGCCCCATTACTGGTGTCAGTGGGAGGAATAGTGCCCTATCGTTGGTGGCAATTTAAGTGCCTCAACAGTGGTGTTAGTGGGAGGAATAGTGCCCTGTTGTTGGTATCAGTGGGCGAAATAGGGCCCCATTGTTGATGTCAATGAGCCCCATTGCTGATGTCAGTAGCAGGAATTATGCCTCATTGTTGGTGTCAGTGGGAGGAATATTGTCTTGTATTATTGGGAGGAAAAGTACCTCAAGGGCCAGGTAAAGGCAAGCAAAGGGCCACATCCTGCCCATGAGCCGCAGTTTGGAGACCACTGCCCTATACTGTATGGCTAGTAAAAATCCACTCTGTGCGGACCAAAGGCCTTTGTAAGTCTAGATATTAGGTAGTAAAGTTAACAGTGACATCATCAGTGTTCTGTACATATTCTGTGCAGTGAATAGGGCTTTGGGAGGGGCCCAGAAGACTCCACCCATTTCATGCTGCCTGCAGAAAACAACAGGGGGGGGGGGGAGTCAAGACCAGTCACTATACACAAGGAGAGAGATGAGCAGTGATCAGTCTTTATCACAGGAAGCCTCACACTGGATTACTGCAGAGGAAGGGAGGAATATAGGAACACCAGATTTCTGACACATCAGCGGTTATTTTTCTGTACTTGTGTGTAAAGGCATAAAACTCGAGGAAATAAACATCTTCCAGGGATGTACTAAGGGGGCTGGTCCACACTCACTGTGCATTCCTGTACGACTCAAACCGCACGCAAAACGCACTAGATGTGCGATCAGCAGCAGATGTCAATAAAAAAGTTAATGACACCCCAAACGCAAGTCACCAACGCAGTGCGCTTGCTCACACCTGCCTGCAGCGGATCGCATAGTACGTTTGGTGGAGTGCAGTGTGATTTTTAGCATTCCTGTGCAATTCAGATGCAGGCGTGGTGTGAACCAGCCCTAAATGTACCTTTTTTTTGTTTTTATTATATTTTTTTTTTACCTATTTTGCATCCGCGTATCTAAAAAAAAAAATGGCAGCTGTAATCCGTTTTATACACAAGCAGCTTTACTCAAGGATAAGGATCTCTAACTTGATCATGTGACTGTACTTTCTAAATTACATTGGTAGCTGAAAATTACCATCACTTAAAAAAAAAAAAAGAAAAAAAAGTATTCTTAGAAACATAGAAAAGTGACAGCAGAAAAAGACCAAGTGGTCCATCAGGTCTGCCCGTTTTTTTGTGTGTGCGTTTGTGTTTTTTTACTTTTTTGGGATTTTTTTTTTGGGGGGGTTGTTAACTTTTTTTTAGTCTGAGTATAGGTCTATGCCTGTCCCAAGCATGTTTGAAGCTATTTACTGTTGACTGTCTCACTACTTCTGCTGGAAGTTTATTCCAGACATCGACTACTCTTTCAGTAAAATATTACTTCCTGAGATTAGTTTTGAACTTTCCTTCGGTTAGTTGGAGGTCCGGTCTCCGTGTTCCTGATTTTGGTTTCATGTTGGAAACCCTGCCCTCCCGAACCTTATTTCCCCCCTTGATGTATATACAGGTTTCATTGTCTCCCATTTTCCTTCTTTCTTCCAGACTGGACATGTTAAGTTCCTGAAGTTGCACTTGATATGTTTTATCCCCTCCAGACCTTCCACCATTTTTGTTCCCCATCTCTGGACTCGTTCTATCCTATTAATATCTTTTTCTAAGTAAGGTCTCCAGAACTGGACACAGTATCTATAACGAGGAATCAGGACCTCCTTCCTCCTGCCGGTGACCCCTCTAGTGATAAGATCTATATAGAGGAATCAGGACCTCCTTCCTCCTGCCGGGTGACCCCTCTAATGATATAAAGATCTATATAGAGGAATCAGGACCTCCTTCCTCCTGCCGGTGACCCCTCTAGTGATAGGATCTATATAGAGGAATCAGGACCTCCTTCCTCTTGGCGGGGGACCCCTCCTGTCGGGGATCAGACCCCTCCTAGGTGACCCCTATGATAGATCTATATAGAGGAATCAGGACTCCTTCCTCCTGCCGGTGACTCCTCTAGTGATAGGATCTATATAGAGGAATCAGGACCTCCTTCCTCCTGCCGGTGACCCCTCTAATATATAAAGATCTATATAAGGAATCAGGACCTATACCCCCTCTAGTGATATAAAGAGAGGAATCAGGACCTTCTTCCTCCTGCCGGTGACCCCTTTAGTGATATAAAGATCTATATAGAGGAATCAGGACCTCCTTCCTCCTGCCGGGGACCCCTTTAGTGATAGGATCTATATAGAGGAATCAGGACCTCCTTCCTCCTGCCAGGACCCCTCTAGTGATATAAAGATCTATATAGAGGAATCAGGACCTCCTTCCTCCTGCCGGTGACCCTCTAGTGATAGGATCTATATAGAGGAATCAGGACCTCCTTCCTCCTGCCGGTGACCCCTCTAGTGATATAAAGATCTATATAGAGGAATCAGGACCTCCTTCCTCCTGCCGGTGACCCCTCTAGTGATATAAAGATCTATATAGAATCTCCTTCCTCCTCCTGCCGGGGACCCCTCCAGTATAGAGGAGGATCAGGACCTCCTTCCTCCTGCTGGTGACCCCTCTAGTGATACAAAGATCAATATAGAGGAATCAGGACTTTCTTCCTCCTGCTGGTGACCCCTCTAGTGATATGAAGATCTATATAGAGGAATTGGGACCTCCTTCCTCCTTGCTGGTGACCCCTCTAGCGATGCATCCTAGAATTCTATTTGCTTTCCCTACTGCCTATCCTACTATAAGATACTTCACCATTACGTTTAATATCATCCAGTCTCGTTATGGGTTAATTTTGCCTGGAATGGTAATGACACGCTTGGGTGATCACCATTCCTCCAGTCCCTGAGTGGGAGCCCCAGTGTTCTGGAGGGAGAGGGGCCACAGCCTGCAGAATTGGAGGGATTAATCAGGAGAGCATCAGGGGACACCCAGGTAGAAGAGAGCGCAGGCCACATCTGAGCTCACGAGAACCTCACTATGTGGGGAGGAGAGCTGTGGAGAAGAGTGGAGCCTGCCTGCTAGACAAACACGAGACCCTACTTTATATACAGGTAAACTACAGGCATTTCCCAGCATTGGATCAAACCCAACTAAAACACTCCAATACAGTGAGGTCATCTGACCTGGGACACAACGTGGGTGACCAAACCATGGCCATATGATCACCCATACAAATACTGTGTGCAGCAACAGAGCATTGTTTACAAGAGGAATGCTTACTAAGATACCTAGAAGCCCAGGTCAAATTTACAGTGTCAATTAACGCGACAATAAATTCATGACTAGTTTGCATATCCAAAAATGTTATATATACACTATGTGCATATTATTATGGAGCTTCTTTTTCTCAGGCGAAATTAGCCAAAAAAGAGTTTAACTGACTCTGAAATGTCAGAAATTGTAAAAAGGTAAAGGGATGCAGCATTATTGAAATTGCCAAGATATTGGAGTGTGATCACAGAACCACCAAACGTTTTGTTGCAAATAGTCAACAGGGTCACAAGAAACGCGTTGAGAAAAAAAACGCAAATTAATTTCCAAAGAAGAAGAAGAATCAAGCGTTATGCTACCAGGAAGCCATTATCCTCCAGTGCTGTCATATTCCAGATCTGCAACCTACCTGAGTGGCCAGAAGTACGAGGTGTTCAGAGCTCAGAGATATGGCCAAAGTAAGAAAGGATGAACCCGACCACCAATGACCAAGACACAGAAATACGAGGTGTTCAGAACTCACAGACATGGCCAAGGAAAGAAGGGATGAACCTGACCACCAATGACCAAGACACAGAAGTACGAGGTGTTTCAGAGCCCAGAGACATGGCCAAGGTAAGAAAGGATGAACCCGACCACCAATGACTAAGACACAACAGTACGAGGTGTTCAGAGCTCAGAGACATGGCCAAGGTAAGAAAGGATGAACCCAACCACCAATGACTAAGACACAACAGTACGAGGTGTTCAGAGCTCAGAGACATGGCCAAGGTAAGAAAGGATGAACCCGACCACCAATGACTAAGACACAACAGTACGAGGTGTTCAGAGCTCAGAGACATGGCCAAGGTAAGAAAGGATGAACCCAACCACCAATGACCAAGACACAGAAGTACAAGGTGTTCAGAGCTCAGGAGATATGGCCAAAGACACAGAAGTAAGAAAGGATGAACCTGACCCACCAATGACCAAGACACAACAGTACGAGGTGTTCAGAACCCACAGACATGGCCAAGGAAAGAAAGGATGAACCCTGACCACCAATGAAGACACAGAAGTACGAGGTGTTCAGAGCTCAGAGACATGGCCAAGGTAAGAAAGGATGAAACCCGACCACCAATGACTAAGACACAACAGTACGAGGTGTTCAGAGCTCAGAGATATAAAGTAAGAAAGGATGAACCCGACCACCAAGGTAAGAACAGGATGAACCCGAGGTGGTCAGAACTCACAGACCAAGGAAATGACTACCAGACACAAAAGTACGAGGTGTTCAGAGCTCACAGACATGGCCAAGGTAAAAAAGGATGAACCTGGCCACCAATGACCAAGACACAGAAATACGAGGTGTTCAGAGCTCACGGACATGGCCAAGGTAAGAAGGGATGAACCCGACCACCAACTGAACAAGACACAGAAGATAAAATGCCAAGACTGGGCCAAGAAATATCTGAAGACAGCTTTTGCAAAAGTTTTTATGGACCAATGAGATGTGTGACTCTTGATGGACCAGATGGATGGGCCCGTGGCTAGATCAATAATGGGCACAGAGCTCCACCTCGACTCAGACGCCAGCA